GCCATATCAATTCTGCAGCAGATCGAATTAGATCTAAAAGCCACCCAGGCCTTGGTCCTGGCACCCACTAGAGAATTGGCTCAGCAGGTAAGAGTGGTTTCTGTTCCCTCCTTAAAGGCTGATTTAGGGATGATGGGCATAATCCAAGGACCAGAAAAGTGTTCTCTGATCACCACCTTGGGAGGAAGAGAGATGGGTGCCCTAACGCTCTCGAGACCTGCTGGGTTAATTAGAAGCTATTTCTTACCCAAATGTAACCATCACTTCCTCCACCCATTTCCTGAGTCAAATGGGAAGGCTCTTGGGTGAAGCCTGGCTGGCTGGGCAAGTTTGGTGGCTGTGTTCTGAATAAGCACCATCACCATGGGCTAAGAGACACCTCAGTGGTGGGGGTGCTATTATGGTAGTCAGAGCAGATGGACAGTGGACAGTTTTGTTGTTTGGTTTTTTATGTTTGGTTTTTTTTTTTTTTTTTTTTTTGGGAGACAAGAGTCTGTGTCACTCAGGCTGGAGTGTAGTGGCGCTATCTCAGCTTACTGCAAGCTCCGCCTCCCGGGTTTACTCCATTCTCCTGCCCTCAGCCTCCCAAGTAGCTGGGACTACAGGCGTCTGCCACCACGCCCAGCTAATTTTTTTGTATCTTTTAGTAGAGATGGGGTTTCACCATGTTAGCCAGGATGGTCTCGGTCTCCCAACCTCATGATCCACCCGCCTCAGCCTCCCAAAGTGCTGGGATTACAGGTGTGAGCCACCATGCCCAGCCGGACAGTCCTTTTTTCACCTTGGCTTAATGCCTAGAGCTGTTTCATGCCGGGGGCACACACAATTCTAATGCTGGACTTTTTCTGGGTCATGCTGCGACACTCATCTCAACTAGAGTATTGAGGCTCAGCATGTTTTTTAAATGTTCTGTGGCAGGTGCAATGATTATTCTGGGTGTGGATAATGTAAGAAGTTACAGCAGAGCTCCATTCTAAGGCACTTGGCTCTCAGTTTTCTCAGAGTGAACATGGCTCGTAGCTTTTGGTCCTCTGGTAGGAGTACAATAGGACATGGATATGCATCACCTGTTCTATAAAACTGGTTGCTGGCCGGGCGCGGTGGCTCACTTGTGTAATCCCAACACTTTGGGAGGCTGAGGCAGGCAGACCACTTGAGATCAGGAGTTGGAGACCAGCCTGGCCAACATAGTGAAACCCCATCTCTACTAGAAATATAAAAACTAGTCGGGCGTAGTGGCATGTGCCTGTTATCCCAGCTACTTGGGGGAGGCTCAGGCAGGAGAATTTAACCCAGGAGGCGGAGGCTGCAGTGAGCCGAGATTGTGCCATTGCACTCCAGCCTGGGCGATGAGCAAAGCTCTGTTTCAAAAAAAACAAAACAAAACTGGTTGCTGCATGACGAGGCAGTTGGTCAAATTAGCTTTCAGAAAGTTACGGGTTCTAAACATCTAGAGTAAGAAACTGAATTAATTATCTGAGCGGCCTTACTGTGAATCACTGTACACTCAGGAACCAGACTGAGTTGAAATCCTGTCTTTGCCACCTATTGACAGCACGATCTTAAGTGGATTTTAGCCTCTGCCTGTTTCTCAGCTGAATGTGAGTGTAATAATAGTGCATGCCCCAAAGTTGTTGGTTAGGAATAAATACATGAAAAACATTTAAGAATGGTGCCGGCCGGGCGCGGTGGCTCACGCCTGTAATCCCTGCACTTTGGGAGGCCGAGGCGGACGGATCACGAGGTCAGGAGATCGAGACCATCCTGGCTAACACGGTGAAACCCCGTCTCTACTAAAATACAAAAAATTAGCCGGGCGTGGTGGCGGGCGCCTGTAGTCCCAGCTACTCGGGAGGCTGAGGCAGGAGAATGGCGCGAACCTGGGAGGCGGAGCTTGCAGTGAGCCGAGATGGTGCCACTGCACTCCAGCCTGGGCGACAGAGTGAAGACTCCGCCTCAAAAAAAAAAAAAAAAAGAATGGTGCCTGGCACAGCTGTAGCTAATATGTGAGCACCTATCTTTCTCTGTGCTCAGATACAGAAGGTGGTCATGGCACTAGGAGACTACATGGGTGCCTCCTGTCATGCCTGTATTGGGGGCACCAACGTGCGTGCTGAGGTGCAGAAACTGCAGATGGAAGCCCCCCACATAATCGTGGGGACCCCTGGCCGAGTGTTTGATATGCTTAACCGGAGATACCTGTGTGAGTAATTCTGTTCTCCAACCCCTGGGTCACTTCGCTCTTGTGCATGCTTTCCAGTCTTTCAGTGTAAGCCAAAGTCATTCCCACAGATGCTGGTTTCCCTCTGGGGAAGAGCTGCTCTGTGATGGAGCCCATGCGTGTCATCTGAGCCTCTGGCTTCCCTGCCAGTGCAGCCCAGGCAGTGTCCTACTTCCCAGGGCTGTTTTCTGGCTTGGCGGGAACGTCCTGGGCAAAGGATCAGTCTTTGTACTCTGAGAGCAGACTACTCGGCCCCTCTCTGTTTTTTATCAACAAAGTTGGATACATCTCTCCTACATTTCCCTGATTATATGCTATATATTGGCTTTTTTTTCCTTCTCTAGCTCCCAAATACATCAAGATGTTTGTACTGGACGAAGCTGACGAAATGTTAAGCCGTGGATTCAAGGACCAGATCTATGACATATTCCAAAAGCTCAACAGCAACACCCAGGTGAGGGCGGCCTTGCTTGAATCGTTAATGATTCTGGAAGAAAAATATCAAGTGCCAGGGGAACCAAACTCTGGATTCTTGTCCTGAGCCTTTTTATGCATCCACTTCAGTTTTAGGTGTGGCTAGGGAAGGGAGCAGACCTTGGGAAGGATCCACTGCTCTAAGGCTGGCCTTTTTTTCCACTAGGTAGTTTTGCTGTCAGCTACAATGCCTTCTGATGTGCTTGAGGTGACCAAGAAGTTCATGAGGGACCCCATTCGGATTCTTGTCAAGAAGGAAGAGTTGACCCTGGAGGGTATCCGCCAATTCTACATCAACGTGGAACGAGAGGTGGGGCCCAGTGCAGGAGGCGGGCCTGGTAGTGAGTTGTTGGGTATAGCCCCTGACTGATTTTTGTCCCCTCACCTGCAGGAGTGGAAGCTGGACACACTATGTGACTTGTATGAAACGCTGACCATCACCCAGGCAGTCATCTTCATCAACACCCGGAGGAAGGTGGACTGGCTCACCGAGAAGATGCATGCTCGAGATTTCACTGTCTCTGCCATGGTGTGTTTGCCTGCTGCCAGCCCCTTGTGGGTCTGCCGGTCAGAAGTGTCCTACTTGAAGCCAGGGTTCCCGGAACCTATGTGCCTACCTGGTTTGTTTTCTCTTCTAGCATGGAGATATGGACCAAAAGGAACGAGACGTGATCATGAGGGAGTTTCGTTCTGGCTCTAGCAGAGTTTTGATTACCACTGACCTGCTGGTGAGTAGAGGGAATTGACAGGAAAGGCAGAAGGGAGGATCCAAGGTGATTCCTGATCCAAGGTGATTCCCTCTCCAAGGGGACATCCAGTGCCCCTCTCAGGAAAGTAGCAGCTTGGAATAGAATCTGGCATGCCTAAGGCCTTTGGGGAACAGGGATGCTTATTTCCTCCGCCTTCCTTGGCTGCCTACATGGATGCCTAAGTGTCTCTTCGGGATAGTGTTCTCTCATGCACATGCTGAAGAGTTGTCTTTCTTGATGTAGGCCAGAGGCATTGATGTGCAGCAGGTTTCTTTAGTCATCAACTATGACCTTCCCACCAACAGGGAAAACTATATCCACAGGTAAGAGTAGATCTGGAACACTCTTCCACCCCCTCACGCCTGGCCCTCCCTGGGCTAAAGTTCCTGATGTTCCTCATCCCTTTCCTTGTTTTCCAGAATCGGTCGAGGTGGACGGTTTGGCCGTAAAGGTGTGGCTATTAACATGGTGACAGAAGAAGACAAGAGGACTCTTCGAGACATCGAGACCTTCTATAACACCTCCATTGAGGAAATGCCCCTCAATGTTGCCGACCTCATCTGAGGGGTTGTCCTGCCACCCAGCCCCAGCCAGGGCTCAATCTCGGGGGGCTGAGGAGCAGCAGGAGGGGGGAGGGAAGGGAGCCAAGGGATGGACATCTTGTCATTTTTTTTCTTTGAATAAATGTCACTTTTTGAGGCAAAAAAAGAAGGAACCGTGAACATTTTAGACACCCTTTTCTTTGGGGTAGGCTCTTGCCCCAGGCGCCGGCTCTTCTCCCAAAAAAACACTAATCCATTTCCCTAACCTAGTAACCTCCAGATCCCAGAGGCTCTCCTCACCTCAGCTGAGCTCCTTTGAAAGTGATTCAGGGGACTACGTCACTCAGCCTCATTTGCTGGACCAAATCTGGAGGGAGAACCCCTAAAACCCCTGAGTGAGGTTGCCCAGGGGGTTGTCCCCAGGTGGGGGGAAGCAGGGGAGAGAAAATGGTAGCCATTTTTACATTGTTTTGTATAGTATTTATTGATTCAGGAAACAAACACAAAATTCTGAATAAAATGACTTGGAAACTGCCTGTTTGGGCTTCTCATTTCTTACCTCCCCTTCCCTCTCCCACCTGCTACTGGGTGCATCTCTGCTCCCCCCTTCGCCAGCAGATAGTTACCTTTGGGCTGTGTTGCTTTCTTGTCACCATCTAAGAGTTCCCAGACACTGGAAAGCCATGTTCTCGGCTCTGAGAACGGTGATGCTGACTGGAGTGCTGCCCCTCTGTAAAAGGCTGGGTGTGGATGATCACAAGCCCCTCACGTGCCTCAGCCAAGAGGAAGTACAGGGGTCAGCCCCGAGGTCCAGGGGAAAGGGGAGTGGAGACACTGATTTCCCTACCACTGAGGGAGGGGCCTGGGTCTCAGCTGTTCCCATAGCCACCTGCCACAACTGCCAAGCAAGTTTTGCTGAGTTTCACACATGGATCCCTATGGATCAACTGCCCTAGGACTCCCTTTCATGTACCCATGTGACCCTGTTGACTTTGCCCTGATGAAGCAGGGGCCAACAGTGCCCTACCTTAATTACAAAAACTAATGACTAAGAGAGAGATGGCTAGAGCTGAGGCCCCTGAGTCAGGCTGTGGGTGGGATCATCTCCAGTACAGGAAGTGAGACTTTCATTTCCTCCTTTCCAAGAGAGGGCTGAGGGAGTAGAGCTGAGCAACTGGTGCAGACAGCCTCGCTGGACTCGGGGTGAGGTAGTTCAGCCATGAGGCTGGCTGTGCTTTTCTTGGGGGCCCTGCTGGGGCTACTTGCAGGTAAGGAGAAAGGAGGCTGAGGGGAAGGGGCCCCTGGGAGGGAGCCTGCCCCTGGGTGGCTAACCATCTCCTCTCTGCCAAAAGCCCAGGGGACAGGGAATGACTGTCCTCACAAAAAATCGGCCACTCTGCTGCCATCCTTCACGGTGACACCCACGGCTACGGAGAGCACTGGAACAACCAGCCACAGGACTACCAAGAGCCACAAAACCACCACTCACAGGACAACCACCACAGGCACCACCAGCCACAGACCCACAACTGCCACGCACAACCCCACCACCACCAGCCACAGAAACGCCACGGTTCATCCAACAAGCAACAGCACTGCCACCAGCCAGGGACCCTCAACTGCCACTCACAGGCCTGCCACCACTAGTCATGGAAATGCCACAGTTCATCCAACAAGCAACAGCACTGCCACCAGCCCAGGACTCACCAGTTCTGCCCACCCAGGACCACCTCCGCCCTCTCCGAGTCCTAGCCCGGCCTCCAAGGAGACCATTGGAGACTACATGTGGACCAATGGTTCCCAGCCCTGTGTCCACCTCCAAGCCCAGATTCAGATTCGAGTCATGTACACAACCCAGGGTGGAGGAGAGGTAAAGCTAAAAATGGGTACGAGAGGGGAGGGAGGCAGGACTGGCTATAGGCTCAGAGGGAAGAAGGAAGACAGGACGGGGAATATTGGCTGGCATCGCATGCAATCTTGTGACCTTCTGATCTTTAACTTCCGCAGGCCTGGGGCATCTCTGTACTGAACCCCAACAAAACCAAGGTCCAGGGGAGCTGTGAGGGTGCCCATCCCCACCTGCTTCTCTCATTCCCCTATGGACACCTCAGCTTTGGATTCATGCAGGTATAGCCATGACCTCAGTCTCACCCCTCACTCAGCCTCCCGGCGCCCCACCCCTCCCAATCCTGCACCCTACCCCTTCCTCTGTGAAGAGGGATGCCACCTGCTTTCCTGTTTGCCCCACAGGACCTCCAGCAGAGGGTTGTCTACCTGAGCTACATGGCGGTGGAGTACAATGTGTCTTTCCCCCACGCAGCACGTAAGTAACCTCCCTCCCTTTCTCATTGCTACCACTAGACACCAGGGTTCCTGAAAGGACTAAGCTGGGGCCAGGGAGGTGGACAGGATCTAACCCTTCCTCACTCCTCCAGAGTGGACATTCTCGGCTCAGAATGCATCCCTTCGAGATCTCCAAGCACCCCTGGGCCAGAGCTTCAGTTGCAGCAACTCGAGCATCATTCTTTCACCAGCTGTCCACCTCGACCTGCTCTCCCTGAGGCTCCAGGCTGCTCAGCTGCCCCACACAGGGGTCTTTGGGCAAAGTAAGACCTACCTACTCCTTCCCTCCTAGAATCCTCCCACTACACTGAAAACCCCTTCCCCAGGCCCATAAGCCACTCATCTCTCTTCTTAACCCCCCAAATCTCCTCCCTCTCCCAGCTTGTCATGGCTATAGGGCAGCTGTCCTCCCATCCTCTACAAGATTCTGCCAGTTTCCCCCTTTGGTCACTGCTGAGTCACTGCAGTGAGCTCCTCACCAATCTCCTACTCCCTAGCATCCCCCCATTCCCTCCTCCCACCTTCATCCCAACCACCATGTCACTGTAATACCTACCTGCCCTATCCTTCCGCCAGGTTTCTCCTGCCCCAGTGACCGGTCCATCTTGCTGCCTCTCATCATCGGCCTGGTTCTTCTTGGCCTCCTTGCCCTGGTGCTTATTGCCTTCTGCATCGTCCGGAGACGCCCATCCGCCTACCAGGCCCTCTGAGCATTTGCTTCAAACCCCAGGGCACTGAGGGGGTTGGGGTGTGGTGGGGGGGGGTCCCTTATTTCCTTGACATGCAACTGTCTCAAAGACAAAGTTATTTTCCTTCCCTTTCTTGAAGAACTAAAATACAGCCGGGCGCGATGGCTCATGCCTGTAATCCCAGCACTTTGGGAGGCTGAGGCAGGCAGATCACTGGAGGTCAGGAGTTTAAAGACCAGCCTGGCCAACATGGTGAAACCCCATCTCTACTAAAATTACAAAAAATTAGCCGGGTGTGGTGGCATAATCCCAGCTGGCCTGTAATCCCAACTCCTTGGGAGGCTGAGGCAGAATTGCCTGAACCCAGGAGGTGGAGGTTGCAGTGAGCCGACATCGTGCCACTGAGCCAAGATCGCACCACTGCACTCCAGACTGGACGACAGAGCCAGACTGTCTCAAATAAATAAATAAGAGATAATGCAGTTGGGAGGAGGGAGGGGAGAGAGTTTTATTAAATGTGACGAACTGTCCCCCAAGAGGAGAGTAGCAAAATATATGCGTATGTTTGACTTGGGGTTTTCCTTGTCCTGCCAGGATTAAAAGCCATGAGTTTCTTGTCACATGCCTTTCTGTGCTTTCCATGGCTGGGTCTCAGCGAGCCGGAAGCAGCTGCTGAGGAGGGATGAAAATGTCAATGTGTGACGATGCCTCATGGGTTTACCCCCCAAAGCCTGGCACAGCTGGTGTTGGATCTGCCGTGCCTCCCTTCCTTCCTCCTCTTGGGGCCACTGGCTGCTCCAGTACCCCATCGCTGGCAAGCCGGTAGAGCCATTCGCCCCTGCAGCCTTCCTCCTGACCCTCCTACAGTTTCAGATGCAGCAGACAGACAAAGCCAGGAGTGCGAGGCTGTGGAATTTCATTCCCAAAGGCAGCGCCAGTGGCTCCTGAGCAATGAGAATGTCCTGTCCTGTCCACCGTATTTAGGGCCAGCAGAAGAGCCCGATTAAACCCTCGCAGCAAGCACCTGGGATGCTCCTATCCCACCTGCAAGGGGTTGAATCAAGCAGGAGCAGTAGGTACTCTGACCTCCACTGGCGGCTCCTGGGAACAGCATGCCCCTTACACAGGGCCACCCGCCAAGTCTAACTTCATGCCCCCAGTATTTGAGGTGAGGCGAGTCATTCTCAGGACAGCCAAGGTCCCGATTCTAGAAAGGGCCTCCCAGATGGCCACAGCCTGCACCACAAGTGAGCGCCAGTCCCACCCTTTACAGTAGGCTGTGGCGCAATCCCTGGGAGCCAGGATGAGCAGCACCCCCCAGCCGTACGAGCCCCGGGAGGCTACCGGCCTCCAAAGCCAGAGACTTCCCCACAAGGGCAGCCCCACCTCTGCCTGCAGACATCCGTGTGACCTTGCAACGGGTGGGCACCGTGGGTTGGCGTCCCGGCGCTGGGTAACGAAGCACAACGCCCCCACCAGGTAGTCCAAGGTGCCCTTTCCCAAGCGGAGCTGCAGGGTCCACTCGGCCTCGCCGAAGTCTCTGCCCAGCACGTGGTGCGCCCTCGGGCCAGCGGGGAGCGGGAGAACCCCGGGGCTGCATCGCCAGGCCTCGGCTCCCCGGAGCCGGCCAGCTCTGTGCCCCACGGGTGATTCAAGGGTTGCCCTTCCCTGCCCTGGGCTCGCCTCCCCCACCTCCTCCTCTGCTTCACTGTCCCGGGCCCAGCAGTTGCCGGCGCACTCATGCTCCGAGGCCTGAGCCAACCGAAGGCGAGGCAAGCACGGGGCCCTGCGCGCAACGCGGCACCTAAGGAGGCCTGCCCGGTGCAGACTCTCCTGCTCCCACCGGCGCCCTTCCCTCTAGAGACGTCGAGCGAACTGGAGCTAGTGGCGCCCCCACCCAACGCCACCTCGGAGACTCGGGCTCCTTCTCTCTCAACTTCGAACAATACAGAGTGTGCTACGAAAAGACAAGATGGCGCCCAGCAAGAGGAGCGGAGAAAGGGGTGTAAATCTTACTTCCAAACTGGAAGCGCCAACAAAGGCGTGGGAGGTCTAACTGCGCAGGCGTGCAGCTTCGGCAAGCTTCAGAATTCCAACTGCCGGGCGCGTCCAAAACGTGGCCCCTGACTGAGACTTATTTTACGCCACTAGAGCGGGGGTGGGTAGCGTCAGAAAGAGCGAGGAGCAGGTGACGGGCCAGCTTCGCCGCGGGAAAAGAACGGGAGGCGGAGTGTCCGCAGCGCGCACGCGCAACGAAAGTCAATGGCGGTCTGGAGAGACTGGCGGAAGCTAGCTTTGCAATATGGCGGCCGAGGCGGATGGACCGCTTAAACGGCTGCTCGTGCCGATTCTTTTACCTGAGAAATGCTACGACCAACTTTTCGTTCAGTGGGACTTGCTTCACGGTGAGTTTTATTCAGCATCCAATCCAAGTCCTGCTCGAGTGACCGTGGACCCTTAGTCCAAGGCTTGATCGGCGACTAAGTGACGGCAGTCACTGCCGCCACGCCGAGCTGAGCGGAAGTCACTGCTGAGAGGGGCGGAAGTGTCTCGGGCCCCTTAGAGGGAGGACGCCATATTTGTGCCAGTGGGGAAGTCATCGGGTGGAATTACTTCTTTGTGAGATTTGAGCTTTAGCGACAATGAAAGACGAAAAGACTCAACCTTTATAAAACAAAATAAAAGTCAAGTCAAATCATGCCAACCTTTATTAGATCGCTAGCAGGGTTAAGCTTAATTCAAAGCCCCTGATGAATTGGGCCTTCATTGCACCCCCAAAGGCTCCGCCACCCTGATTGCTTTCTTTCCAGCCTCCAGGTTTGCTCATAGTCTGATTTCGGAATAATTTGCCTCCCTTCCTTTTTGATTGCGAGACAGCTCCACAACAAGGCCCACCGTCAGACCATTTGGGAAGCGTCAGTCTGCCCCTCTCTTGAACTCGTGGGGCACTTTGTTTTAGCCGCATTCATGACCCGTGAGAGTCTGACTCCCACTGGACCAAGCTCCTTGAGGGGAAGGCTTCAAAGCTACATAAGTTGTAGATGGCCAGGGCATAAAAGCAAGTCCTGAAAGGGTAAAGTTTAGTCCCTGAGTAGGGGCCAGGGACAGTCAGAGTGTTCAAGAAAGAGTGGTATGGGGCGGGCACGGTGGCTCACGCCTGTAATCCCAGCACTTTGGGAGGCCGAGGCAGGTGGATCACCTGAGGTCAGGCGTTTGAGACAGCCTGGCCAACAGGGTGAAACCCCGTCTCTACTAAAAATACAAAAAATTAGCCGGACATTGTGGCAGGCGCCTGTAATCCCAGCTACTTGGGAGGCTGAGGCAGGAGAATCTCTTGAACCCAGGAGGCAGAGGTTACAGTGAGCCGAGATCGTGCCATTGCACTCCAGCCTGGGCAACAAGAGTGAAACTCCGTCTCAAAATTAAAAAAAAAAAAAAAGTATGAAGACTTGTCTTTGGTGAGAGAAGACATGTGAAATGGGGCACCCATTGGCCCAGAGAAGGGAGATAAAGGATTAAAAAACTCTTGGGCATTTCTTAACTTGGCATTTCTTAACTTTATACGGGGAAGCAATGGAGAGCCGTGGAGGTCAAGCCAAGTTTGGATGTTAATTTATAGGGAAGGGAAGATTGGATGTGGCAGGTGGTAGGCATTGGAGAAAAGCTGTTTTGGAAAGTAATAGTCTGGGGCCCAGCGCGGTAGCTCGAGCCTATAATCCCAGCACTTTAGGAGGCTGAGGCAGGTGGATCATCTGAAGTCAGGAGTTCGACACCAGCCTGGCCAACATGGTGAAACCCCGTCTCTACTAAAAACACAAAAATTAGCCAGGCATGGTGGTGTGCGCCTGTAATCCTAGCTACTTGGGAGGCTGAGACAAGAGAATTGCTTGAACCTGAGAGGCAGAGGCTGCAGTGGGCTGAGATCGGGCAATGCAAGACCGTGGTGTGGGTAAGAGGGGTTGGGGAGAGCCCACAGGAGCTTCAAGCCCTGGCCTCGGTTTCAGACATCTCCTGTCTGCTTACCCTTTTTTCTCTCCTCAGTCCCCTGCCTCAAGATTCTCCTCAGCAAAGGCCTGGGGCTGGGCATTGTGGCTGGCTCACTTCTTGGTATGTCTCTTATCTTTCTTTCCTGCTGTTGGGTTGAGGTGGAGGTTCTGAGAGGCCGTCAGCTGTGTGGGCGTTCATTCTGTAGCTGTTGTGTTGCATCCCAAAGAATGGAGACTCCTCAGTCCTACTTTTCTCATCTTTCCCCTAGTAAAGCTGCCCCAGGTGTTTAAAATCCTGGGAGCCAAGAGTGCCGAAGGATTGAGTCTCCAGTCTGTAATGCTGGAGCTAGTGGCATTGACTGGGACCATGGTCTACAGCATCACTAACAACTTCCCATTCAGGTGAGGGGCTCACTCTTCCTCCCCAAGGGTAATACCCACAACTCTAATGGGGATTAAGGTGAGGGAGGTTACAGGGCAGGAAAGTGGCCAGGCCGGGTGGCTAGTGCCTTTAACCCCAGCACTTTGGGAGGCCAAGGTGGGTGGATCACCTGAGGTCAGGAGTTCAAAACCAGCCTGGCCAACATGGTGAAACCCTGTCTCTACTAAAAATACAAAATTAGCTGGGTGTGGTGGTGTGCACCTGTAATCCCAGCTACTTGGGAGGCTGAGGCAGGAGAATCACTTGAACCTGGGAGACAGAGGTTGCAGTGAGCTGAGATTGTGCCACTGCACTCCAGCCTGTGCATGAAGATCTGGAGTTTTTTTTTGAAACTCTGTCTCAAAAAAAAAAGGGATGAGGGGCCAGGAAAGTTTTAAGCCCTTTTAAAAACCTAATCATCACCAGTGGAGGTGACCTTGAAAAGGGGTGAGCATCCCAAGAATGGCCACGATTGAGAATGAGCCAATCCCGTGCGGGGGCTGTAGAGAAGTGTGATCAGAGCATGGTGTCCCTGGATGGATGGGCTATGGAGGCTTTCCCTGCCTCTTTCTAGGCCCGCCTTTCTTCCTCCCAACTCTTGACTCTGCAGCTCTTGGGGTGAAGCCTTATTCCTGATGCTCCAGACGATCACCATCTGCTTCCTGGTCATGCACTACAGAGGACAGACTGTGAAAGGTGCTGGGGATTTCCCTAAGAGCAGGCTGTGTGGTTCCTGGGAACCCTGCTGGGAACTCAGGCCTGGGAAAGCCAAATGATGTTGGGAGATTGACAAGGACTCCTGTCTCCCCACCCCTAGGTGTCGCTTTCCTCGCTTGCTACGGCCTGGTCCTGCTGGTGCTTCTCTCACCTCTGACGCCCTTGACTGTAGTCACCCTGCTCCAGGCCTCCAATGTGCCTGCTGTGGTGGTGGGGAGGGTGGGTACCGGGAGCAAGGGACAAGATGTTGGGGGGCAGGGTGGAGGGGAAAGAGTGGAAGGTCAAAGTGTGGGGGTGTTGGACTTGGGGGAGTATGGGAGGAGCTCAGGTGACAGAGCCAAAGGTCTCAACTCCTCCCCCAGCTTCTCCAGGCAGCCACCAATTACCACAATGGGCACACAGGCCAGCTCTCAGCCATCACAGTCTTCCTGCTGTTTGGGGGCTCCCTGGCCCGAATCTTCACTTCCATTCAGGTGAGTGCAACATCTTCCTTCTAGAAGGCACTAAAACCTCATCTTTCTTCTCCCAGCTAAGGGCCAAAGCTGCCCCGCCAGGATCCTTTGTCCATAAGGGAAACTTTCTTGAGCTATGCTGAAGGGTAACGCTGGCTCTGTCTCTTGCAACCAGGAAACTGGAGATCCCCTGATGGCTGGGACCTTTGTGGTCTCCTCACTCTGCAACGGCCTCATCGCCGCCCAGCTGCTCTTCTACTGGAATGCAAGGCCTCCCCACAGGCAGAAAAAGGCAGAGTAGAGCCAGCTACTGGAGTCATTCCGTTTCCACTCATTCACCCAACCTCAGGGTTCTCCCCATCTGAGCCAGCCTGCTGGTGTGACTTACTCATCCTCCATTCCTCTGCATTTGCAGACTTTCTAAGCCAGGGTTGGCTGTAGTGGAAACAAATGGTTGATGGATCCAGATCCTTAGAAAAGGAGAGGATGGGGGTAGAGTCTCCTAAGCCAAAATTTTGACATTTGAGTGCTTTTCTAAGCCCTGTACATGAACTATTAACTCAGTCATTCAGCCAAGCCTCCTCCTCTAGCAGCAATTTCCAGCTGTTTAACACCATCCTGGGTAAATGTTTTACCCTGTCCTCCAGCCTCCCTGCTTCCCTTCTGGCCTTAGAAGATGGAGCCTGGAAGGCAGAGTGGAGGGGACTGGGGGCCTGTGGCTGCCTCCCCGCCTCAGCCCGGCTGGGACTGTCTCCCAGACCCCAGTGCTGAGGTGGGGGAAGGGGGACGGAGAATGACTCAGGCAGGGCCCCAGGGTGGGGTGAGGAGGTTCCTGCTCTGGCAGGTCTAGGCGGAAGGGAGTGGAGATGGGGCTGGTTCCTGCTGCAGTGAGGGGAACAGATGGGACAATAAAGACTGGAGACTCAGTTGAATAATACAAAACTGTGTTTAATACTACCAAAAATATAACTGTGTGTTGTGCGGCTCTCCCTGGCTTTCGTGGGAGGACTGCAGGCGGCGTCTGCACTGTAGTCCAACAGGAGAAAGGGTTGACAGCCTGGGGTAGGGGATGCTGCTGGATTAAAAAAGGAGGATGAGGCACGTCCGGTGAGGTCTGAGTCCACGAGAGTTAGAGGTGGGTTAGGGGCATGGGGGCACCAGAAAGGGGAGGATTGTATGGAGTGGGAGAGCCAGGGGGCAGGTAGTGGGTATAGGGGGGCAGCAGCTCCCCCTGGAGCCTAGGGTCACTCTGAGGGAGGGAGCACGATGAGGGGGCCTCCAGTTTGCAGTGGGAAGAGCTGCAGAGAGAAACAAGAGGTTAGAGGGCACTTCCCTGGGTTGGAGGTGAGTTCGACCAATTCTGGGCAGACAGGGTAGAGCTTGCCACCCACCCAGCCCTGGCTACCCAGCCCGCTGGGCGCAGCAGGCATGGAAGCCGACCCGGGGATAGAGAGCCCGCGGCCCTGTTGGGGCACGCTCGGGAGCGGGCTTGCGTGCTGCACGGCTGTTTTCCTCTTGGGGCTGGGGAGTCAGGCCAGGAAGGGGCAGAATGGGCTTGGCCTCTCCTTGCCCTGGGGGCTGGGAGAGGAAGCTGGGTCACACACAGGCCAGAAGCAGGGGGGAAACAGGGCATCTAACTAGGACACAATCGCATCCAGGGGTCCGTCACCGGGCCCTGCAGGGCCATCACCTTCAGACTGAGATGGAAACGCCCTCTGGGAGAACCCTGACCCGCCCCACCCTACACAGGTCCCGAAGGTACTGGCGCCTGTGCCCGCCACACCTTGGCCGAGAGTGGCCTCTGCTTGGGTGGGCTCCCGTCCTCCGGCATCCACCCCCACCAAGGCTCCAGGAGAGGGGCGCATGGGCCCTCCGTCTTCAGCCCGCTTCCCAGGCACTCACCCATAGCTGCCGGGCAGGTAGGCTGTCGAGTAGTTGGGGGGTCTGTACCCAAAGCCTCTGCTAGGTTGGGTGGTCGCGTACCCCGGCCCCCAGATCGCGCCGACGCCGGCCAGGCTACCTCTTCCCTGTCCGCAGCGGGAAGGTCCGGCGCCCGAGCTCTTGGCCTTGCGCCGAGGGCGGTACTTGTAGTCGGGGTAGTCGCGCAGGTGCCGGGCGCGGAGCCGCTTGGCCTCCTCCACGAAGGGCCGCTTCTCGTCCTCGTCCAGCAGCTTCCACTGCGCGCCCAGGCGCTTGGAGATCTCAGAGTTGTGCATCTTGGGGTTCTGCTGCGCCATCTGGCGGCGCTGAGCGGAGCTCCACACCATGAACGCGTTCATGGGCCGCTTCACCTTCTCCAGGGGCAGCGCCCCGGGGGCCGCGGGGCTTCCAGCGCCCTCCCGCTCCTGGGGTCCCGAAGATGAAGACGCAGAAGCCGTGGGAGCAGGAGGCTCCAGGCTCCAGGCCTGGTCCTGTGAGGAGCCCGGTAGCGCCATGGGTTGGGAGAAGCCTTAAGAGGGCGTCCTGAATGCCCTCCCCTCAACGTGAAGCGTCGATCCTGAAAATGGAGGGGTCTTCCCAGTCTGGAGTCGTTGCCGAGGAACTTGGGTCCTTAAAAAGTATATTTTATCCCCAAGCCCAGCGCTTAAACTAGAGCCTTTGCTTCCAACCAGTTCGGCACACTTTGGGGAGAGTCGAATGCAAAATCCGCTGTCTGATGCCCCGGCACTGAAGAGGTGCTGCTCTGAGGCCTACTGAATGGGGGGACCCCCCCCCGGTCCCTCTCCCCGACCCGCAGCTGCGATCAGACCGACCTTCCGTGGAGGGGGTAAACCATAAACCGCTTTGTGGTCTCCGGAGTTCCCGCAGCTGCCAGGCGCGGATGACCCAGAACTCTCCCACCTGGGCTCAGCGTTTGTGGCAGGCGGGCCAGCCCTGGGAACAGCTTTTAAAGACTGACTCCGCCCCTGTCCCTCCCAGAACACTGCACCTCCTTAAGGGCGCCAACATCCGCTGCCCGTAGGTAAACCCAGGTGTCCTGTTTGTCCCAGCCCCCAACACCCTCAGGGTGCCACGCCCCCCCCCACCCAAGACCTGATGTCAGGCCTTCCAGCCCGTGGCTGATTGCCTCCCCTCCCTGAGCACAGGCAATTTAAAGCCAATTCTTTCCACAATGGGATCAAGCACAGGCGGATCAAGTGCCCTCAGGGCCTGAGTTGTGCTGAGAGGAGCTTGGGAGCATCCCCGACCACCAACTCAAACCCTTTCCTGGCGCCTGTTGCTCCTCAAATCCCAGACCTGCCCCTGGGGCAAGAAAGGCCGAGGAGAGAGACCATTTTTGTTTCCTGAGTCATTCCAGCAGGTGCTTGGGCCGTGATTCAACCCCTTTCCCAAGTGAGAAAACTTAAGCCCTCCCAACTCCAGTCCCTAAACCTAGATTTCTCGACTGCCATTGTTTTATGGCAAGTTTTATCTTCAGTCCTCCCAGTCATGAGGGGGGAGCCAGGAAACCTAGGACAACTCGAGTTGAGAGGTCTGTGATGTGCATGCCGGATGAAAAGCCTGGAACCAGATCAGAACACCACCAAGAAGGCCGGGCCCCAGGCTCCAGAGGCTGCCGTCAGGGAACCCTGCTCCTCATTCTGCCCAACGGCCCAGCCCAAGCCCCAGGCCTCAGGTAATCGGATTAAGCAGCCTGCCTTGGCTCTCAGCTTCTAGCAGGAACAGCTCCAGCTCTGAGCAGCCCTGCCTAGCCTGTGCCGTGACTCAGGGTATAGGAGTGGCCCAACTCCCTCCATCAGCAAACTTGGGGGAGGGGTTAGGGTTAGGGTTAGGGTGAAGCAACAAGGCACAAGCCCCCCTCCTCTGGACCAGGAGGGAGAACCTGGGCCTGGGGAGTTTAGGAATGTCAGGAATTCCCAGAAGTAAGACCATCTTTGGGACAAGAGACAATGAGAAGTCAAGTGTGGAGGAACAGAAAACAAGAGCGGGGGGTCAGGGCAGGTCAGTCCTAGAGAAACAAAGGGACCAAACTGGGGACAAAGGCGGCACAGGAGCCAGAGAGCCATTTGGATTTTTTTATTCTCTTTTTAAATACTGTACAGTGAAAAATAAATACGCCTTCTCATCCACCAGACAAGGTTGGTCCCCTCCCCCGGGGGACCTTGTCACCCCCCTTCATACACACCCCTGGTTCTACTCCAAAACCTTCCCCGTGCCTCCCACCCACTTATCTCTTACTATCCCCGTCTTCCACAGTGATGAGGCCCCAGAAATGGGGGGTACAGGATGGGAGGAGGGATAGCAGGGGAGGCCCCCTGAACGGTCAAATCTGGGTGGGTCAAGGAGCACCCCCCACCAACAGGTGGAGAATGGGGGTGTTCAGAGAGAGATTGGGGCATTAGAGGATAAAGGCACATCCAGTCTGATGGGGAAGGAGAGAGGCTCCCCTTACCCTGGGGGTAGGGTGGACAAGAGGGAGGGGGTATGACCCTGTTACACACCCCTCCACTAGCTCCTGGAGGTTGGGGGGTACCCAAGCTGCTGTGCCACCCCCCTCCCCCCTAGATAAGAGCAGCTCCAGCGCAGGTCAGTTGGGCCTGTGAGGGCCATGGTGTTGGGCAGCAAGCGAGATGGAGAAGGGAGGGGTGCAGGCTGGAGGTTTTATGAAACCCCATTCACCATACTACCCAACTCCAAGGGGGCGGAGAGCTCCCCATTCTCCGAGGGGCCCTTAGGAAGCTTGCTGACAGAGTCACCCTGAGGGGAAAGTGGAAAAGAAAACAGACAAGCAAGAAGCGGTGAGTAGAAATTCAGGTGGGAGACATTTCTACCATCCAAGCCCTCCTGGCATTTGGTGATCCAGAGGTTGGTTCCCCCATGATCCAGTCTCTCTTACTTGGGATCCACAAAATGTGAACCACACTTTCCTCTCAATCCTATTCAAAGTTTACACTAGTCTAAACTCCACCAGACACCGCTGCCTCTGCAATTCAGTAAGAGATTTCTTTGTGAAATTTGTTGTGCCCTCTGCCCCAGAGTAACAACAAAAAAGGGATGGGTAAATCACATCTTGCCTGCCTACCTTCTGTCCTGAAAGAGAGTCCTCTGAGGGTTTAGTGCGTTCCAGGGGTGGCCGCTGGCGGCTCTGAGACTCTGCTCGTGAGATATAGTCAGCCACAGTCACTGGGGAAGGCAGGAGATTAAGACTTTCAGATGGAATTCTGGTAGCCAGCCCAAGACACCCACTGAACCTGAACCCCTGATTTTCACAGGGTAGGAAGCATCCCATTCTCTCAGCTCTGAGGAAGGATTCTGGTGTCCAGAGTTGGCTGACCTGGCTGGCGGTCTCCACTGATAGAACCATCAGTCCGATTACCACGGTTACGGCGGCGGCGGCTGCGATTACGACGTTGAGGTCTTGATTCATCTTCTGTAGGGCAGGAAAAAACCAGAGTCACACATCTAACCTCTCACCCTCGATTCCTACCCATGTCTAACTTTCCAGACTCCAGGCACACCCTCACCCAGGCCATTCTCTGTCATGTTGGGCCCATCTGATTCCAGGCCTCCATCCATGACGGTCCTGTCTTCATCAGTGCGGCGGCGGCGGGAGCGGCGGCGCCTGGCACTTGCTGGGGGGGGTTCCCCAGGTTCTGAATCAACCGGGGGCTCTGGTTCAGATGTGTCCAATAGGCTGTAGGGATTACTGTCTGGATCCTTCAGCACTGGTCAGAGGAAGAAGAGGAGAAGGTGGCATTCAGGTGCCCATCATCTTTTGTTTTGGCCCATATTCATGAACCCAGCTGTCTGGTACCTGAGCTAATAGATGAAGAATTATATCTCGAAGTGGGCCGGGGGGCAGGTGGGGGTCCCCTACCCCGGCCCCCAATCGGCCGCCTCCGGCTTTCTTCCCCTCGGGTTGGGGGATCCCTGTCGCCAGGCCCAGCTCGGTTGGGTTCCTCTCTCTTCTCTGACTCAGTCTCTGAAGCTGTAGACACATCTGAGCTGGGGCCTGAAGAACACAGTGGGATTTATTCACGGCCATTCGTCCTACCTCAGGATCCATCACATTCCCCAAAATGGAAGAATTCTCCCTCTCACTCACAAGTCCCCCAGCCAATCAATCACTTCTTTATCATCTCCATCCCAGATTTCCCCAAACTTCCATCCAGACCTCTGCCTCTACCCACAAGCCCTGCCACTCCCTGCCTCCTGTTCCCAAGCTGTCTCACCATAGGCAGGACCGCCTGTCCTCCGGCCACGGCCACGGCCCCCATAGCTGCCCCCATAGGTTCGAGTCGCATGGAGGGAGGAGGAGGAGCTCTCATCGGTGCTATATCCAGCCTTGTCACTGCCACCGCTGCCCCGCCCGCTCCCAGGAGGGCGAAAGCCCAGCCCAATCTGCCGAAGCTGCTCATCAATTTGCAACCTCTCCAAGCGAAGCTGCTCTACCTCCTGGTTGGGTAAAAGACGGAAGAAGAAGCGAAAGGAGAAACAAGATCAGTGCCTTTCTTCATGCTTCTCCACCCTGACTGTCCCTCTATATCTAATCTCTTAGGAATGCAAGGAGAAGGAAGACGCTGGCTAAACAAGGAAAATTCTGGGACCCAACCCTATAGCCCCAAATTTCCACAAATGTTTTCTGTTCTACATGGAGAGACAAACAGAGCACCAAAATTCCTGAGTTGACCCCCACAGCAGTCTTAGTTCAAACCCTTTCCACACCCAGCTCTGTCCTCTCCCAGCCTGGGTACCTGCAGGTAGGAAAGGTGATACTCCAGCAAAGCCTGGGCATTGCTGATGTTCTCTCGGGTGCCAACAAAAATGAAGGGAACCATTCCCTGGAGAGCAGAGAGCAGAGACGATGGATCAGAAAGGAAAATGAAATGGAAGGATTAACCCCGCCCAGTGTCCTAGGGGAACCTGCCCAGTGGGATCATTCTGGACTCTAAATCTACTAGGGTTAAACAAGTTTCCGTACTCCACCCTCTCAAAGGACAATCCCAGCCCTAAGAGGACAATCCCATTTACTTCTGGAAACCAATCTCTATGCCCACTTGCCCCGTACCCATACCTCCTCCCTGGGGTTCTTCTTGTCATTATCCCCTTCCACTCGAACCCTCACCACACCAGATTTATCCACAATCTCCTGGATCACTTTCCCGTTCTTTCCAATCACTTTGCCTGGAATAAGTAAAGGAGGAATTAAGCCTTTTTTTTTTTTTTTTTTTTTTTTTTTTTTTAGGAAATAAGAATAAAGCTGATAAACCGTCTTCCAGCCTCATTTTCTTTATATGGATTCCATTTACTTCATTCTCCTGCTTCTAGTTTTCTGATGTGTTTTTACAGGACAAAATGTTACAATCCCTAGAAATTTATTCTTTCATTTTTATCACTCCCATTACAGACTGTTTCTCTGTCCTTGTGAAACTGAGAGTCCACAGGGAGGTGCCAATCCTGGATACAAGCTCAGAATCACTGTAGAGAATCTTGATTCTGACCTCTAACTGTATATACACGCCACCAACTCACCAACCAGGTTCCTGGGCACTTGCACTGAGTCCTCAGAAAACTCCAGGTAGCTTCGGGCCTGTCGGCAAGCCTCGGGAGTCTAAAGGAAGAACAGCGGGGAGTTGTTACTAAAACAGAAGACCAGCTGGGTGAGGTGGCTCGTGCCTGTAATCCCAGCACTTTAGGAGGCTGAGGCAGGCGGATAACTTGAGGTCAGGAGTTCAAGACTAGCCTGGGCGATATGGTGAAACGCTATCTCTACTAAAAATACAAAAAATCAGCCAAGCATGGTGGCTCACGTCTGTCATCCCAGCTACTCAGGAGGCTGAGGCAGAAGAATTTCTTGAACCCAGGAGGTGGACATTGCAATAAGCTGAGATTATGCCACTACACTCCAGCCCGGGCAACAGAGTGAGTTAGACTCCGTCTCATAAAGAAATAAATTAAACAAATAAATAACTTTAAAAAAACAAAAAAAACAAAAAAACAGAGGACCTTGGCCAGCCACAGTGGCTCACACCTGTAATCTCAACAGTTTGGGAGGCTAAGGGAGGACTGCTTGAGGCCAGGAGTTAAAGACAAGCTTGGGCGACACAGATCTGGTCTATTTTTGTTATTTTTTGGTCTCACTCTATTGACTATATTGCCCAAGTTGGTTCAGTGGCACCATCATGGTGTATTGCAGCCTCGACTTTCTAGGCTCAAGTGATCCTCCTGCCTCAGCCTCCCAAGTAGCCAAGTAGCTGGGGCCACAGATGCATGCCACCATGCTCAGTTAACGATTTTTGGTTTTCTTCGGGGGTAAAGACAGGGTCTCTCTATGTTGCCCAGGTTGGTCTCAAACTCCCAGGCTCAAGCGATCCTCCCCTCCATCTTCCCACTTCAGCCTCCCAAGTACCTGGGACTATAGGTACGCACCACCACTTCCAGCTAATTTTTAAATTTTTGTAGAGATTGGGTCTCACTATATTGCACAGGCTGGTCTCAAACTCCTAGGCTCAAGTGATCCTCCCACTTCAGCCTCCCAAGGTGCTGAGATTACAGGTGTGAGCCACTGTGCCCAGCCTGAGGCTTATTTTCTACTTCGGCCTCTCTTCCCTCTATCCACTAAGAGACCCAGAAGAAAGACATCCTTTGCTGACCTCCCCATAGATGCGGAAAGTGCAGGTCTCTTCACCCAGCTCAATGGCAGTCACCCCAGGTACTTTTCGGGCCTGCTGGATGTTGGCACCATGAGTCCCAATTGCCAGTCCCATCAGGTCCTCTCGCACTGTGAACTCCTCTTGGAAGGCTGCTGCCAACTGCTTGCTTGTCTGAAAGGAAAAGTCACTGTAGGAATCATGGTGGTAGAATCTCAGAACACAGTCCCAGGCACATGACCCTTAGCATAACTTCAATAAGGAAAACTATGTGATATTAACAGAAAGCTAGAACCACTCTGGAGTCCGCTGACCACCAGGACCCGTGTGGAAAGGTCAGGAACTTTTTGTTTTTCCTTTGAGACGGAGTTTCACTCTGTCGCCCAGGCTGAAGTGCAGTGGCGCGATCTCCGCGTCTCGAGTTCAACTGATTCTCATGCCTCAGCCTCCCAAGTAGCTGCGACTACAGGTGTCCACCACCACTCCTGGCTAATTTTTGTATTTTTGGTAGAGATGGGGTTTCACCATGTTGGCCAGGCTGGTCTCAAACTCCTGACCTCAGGTGATCCACCCGCCTCAGCCTCCCAAAGTGCTGGGATTACCCGTGTGAGCTACCATGCCTGGCCAAGGTCAAGAACTTTTAATTCCACCCCTACCTTCCAAATACCAATGGTTTGTGGGGGAGGAAAGGTAAAGAGGGTAGAGTTTGGACTGAGACCCACCGAAGTTCTGGATTTGGCCCTAAGAGTATCTATCCCTAACAGTATCTATCTGTGTGATCTTAAAACAAACACTGCCTCTTGTGTCATCTGCTAAGTGATTATATCGAACTTATCTTATTCTCAAGACTAGCAAAAGGATTAGACAAGGCTGGTGTGAAAGTACTTCTCACAAGGTACATGCAAGTGTAAGGAACTCTTACCTTAACCAAACGAATATCAACTCATGCCCATATAAAACCCAACAACTTAAGTAAAAAGTGAGGGGTAGGCTGTGCACGGTGGCTCACGCCTATAATCCCAGCACTTCGGAAGGCTGAGGCGGGCAGATCACGAGGTCAGGAGATTGCATGGTGAAACCCCGTCTCTATTAAAAATACAAAAATTAGCTGGGCTTGGTGGGGTGCGCCTATAATCCCAGCTACTTGGGAGGCTGAGGCAGGAGAATCGCTCGAACCAGGGAGTCAGAGGTTATAATGAGCCAAGATCATGCCACTGCACTCCAGCCTGGTGACAGATCAAGACTCCGTCTCCAAAAAAAAAAAAAAAAACTGAGGGGTTAAGAAAAACAGAAAATGTGCCTATAGAACACAAGGCTTTCACATCATTTCTCAATCAGTCTTTAGAGGAACCCTTGGGTTCAGGGGCAGGAAGACAGAAAGGTTTTAGAAGAGTGAATCCCATGTTGTAAGCGCCAAATAGAAATAATACCTGAAAGGAGACATTCCTTGATTGTAATACACTACTTCCCACTTCCAAGTTGGATAGGACTGAATTGCAGCAAGGATTTACACCAGGCAAGAAGAGAAAGTTGGGAAAAGAAACTAAGTTGAGTGTTCAAAATCACTACACTAGGAAGGGAGGGGAAGTGATCTACAATGACTTATAAGAGTCTTCTAGATAAGCCTGCAGAACAGCTGGGTTTTCTTTTTTTTTTTGTCTTTTTATTGAGATGGGGTCTGTCACCCAGGTTGGAGTGCAGTGGCATGATCTCTGCTCATTGCAACTTCTGCCTCCCTTTTTTTGGTATTTTTAGTGGAGAAAGGGTTTCACCATGCTGGCCAGGCTGGTCTTGAACTCTGGACTTCGTGATCTGCCCACCTCGGCCTTCCAAAGTGCTGGGATTATAGGCCTGAGCCACCGCGCCCGGCCGCTTTCAGGTTTTTAGAGGCTTCACTACTAGGCATGACTGATTAAATCACTGACCATCAGTGACTGCCTTAACCTTCAGCCCCTCGCCCCTCTCCCCTCCCAGGAAGCTGGTGGGGGTGAGGCTGAAAGTTCCAACCCTCTAATCATGAAGCCACCTAGAGGGGCTAGCCATGAATCAACTCATCAGCATACAAAACACACATCACTGGAGATTCCAAGGATTTTACAAGTGGAATGCCAGGAGCCTGGTCAGTAGACCAAATATGTATCTCTCAGTATCACAGAGCCTGTCAGTCCTACTGGTTTTACTTGTAAAACGTATCCTACGTAAAACTACTCTCTCTCTCTTCCTTTAGCACTCCAGTTCAAGTTTCTCACCTGGACTACTGTGCTCTGTTCCTGCTTCCGTTCTTGCCCCCCTTTCAATCTATCATTGAAACAGGAGTTTAAAAGAAGGCACTTTTGGCCGGGCACGGTGGCTCACGCCTGTAATCCCAGCACTTCGGGAGGCCAAGGCAGGTGGATCACGAAGTCAGGAGATCGAGACCATCCTGGCTAACACAAGGAAACCCCGTCTCTACTAAAAAAAAAAAAATCAGGCGGGCGAGGTGGCCGGTGCCTGTAGTCCCAGCTTCTTGGGAGGCTGAGACAGGAGAATCAGTTGAACCCGGGAGGCGGAGCTTGCAGTGAGCGGAGATCGCACCACTGCACTCCAGCCTGGGCGACAGTGCGAGACTCCATCTCCAAAAAAAAGACAAAACAGAAGGCACTGTGAACTCAATGGCTTCTCAGTATACACACAATAAAATCCCCCTCAGCCTACCGTACATGTCTTACATGATCTACTTGCTGTCTGACAAAATTTTGTATCCGTCTCCCTTTGCTCACTCTGTGCTAACTACACAGGTTACAGTGAGCTGAGATCGCACTACTGCACTCCTGCCTGGACAACAGAGCAAGACTCCATCTCAAAAAATTTAAAAAATAAAATAAAATAGGCCAGTGTGATGGCTCATGCCTATAATCCCAGCACTTTGGGAGGCCAAGGCAAGTGGATCCCTTAAGGCCAGGGGTTCGTCACCAGCCTAGCCAACAGGGTGAAACTCCGTCTCTACTAAAAATACTAAAATTAGGGTTGTGTACAGTGGCTTATGCCTGTAATTCCAATACTTTGGGAGGCCAAGGCAGGTGGATCACCTGTGGTCAGGAGTTCAAAACCAGCCTAGGCAACATGGTGAAACACCGTCTCTACTAAAGAAACAAAAATTAGCCAAATGTGGGGGCGCATGTGCCTGTTATCTGAGCTACTCAGGAGGCCGAGGCACAAGAATCGCTTGAACCTAGGAGGCAGAGGTTGCAGGGAGCAGAGATTGCATCATTGCACTCCAGCCTGGGTGACAGAGGGAAACTCTGTCTCAAAAAAAAAAAAAAAGAAAGAAAGAATTAGCCAAGTATGGTGGCGTGCACTTCTAATCCCACCCACCCAAAGGCTGACATGAGAGGATCACTTGATCCTGGCGGGTGGAGACTGCAGTGAGTTGAGATCCTGCCACTACATACACTCCAGCCTGGACAACAGACTGAGATTCCATCTCAAAACAAAAAACAAAAACAAAAAATAAAGTTTGTATTATCTGAAGGTAATAGTAAATTTTTCCTGCCAGTGCCCTGAGCAGGATCCCTGAAGAAGTCAAAGATTATCATGACCCAGCAATTGCACAGCCACAGAAAAAAGCCTCCCAAAAAGATCAA